CGTTCCGGGCGTGGGAACCAAGGGAGGAAAATTGGGAGACGAGGCCCGTGGCCAGGAGGGAGGAAGCGCGGGCCGGCGAGGGGCAGGGCGGGGTGGAAGGGAAGAGGCCGGGAGGCATCGGCTCCTTCTCCAAGAGCCGGCGCAGTTTCAAATGTCCAAATTTGAATTTGTCATGTCCCGTGTGCTTCCCGGGCACGGAGGCGAGCAGGACGGCTTGTGCGGAGGAGAAGTCGATGCGTGGGAGTTCCTGTTCGATCATTTCGGTGAGGAGGGGGTGCCCCTTGCCGGGGGAGTGTGGGCCTGAGGAAGGTGCGAAGAAGGTAGGAAAGGAGGGAGGGAGTATGGGAGGGAGGGAAACAGAGAGGGAGAGAAGGAGGGGAAAAGGGTCAGAATGCCTGAAACATCACCCCGCCCGCGCCTCTGAACCCGGACCTGTATTCAAATAACTTATCCCTCCCTCCTTTTCACTTTTTCTGTCCTTTCCGCCTCCTCCCTCCTTCCCTCCCTCCTTCCCTCCCTCCTTCCCTTCCTCCTTCCCCACCTCGCGACCCGCACTCGTTCTCGAAACCATTCAAAGCCTGCAGGTACTCCCTCAGGTCCCGACCGAACAAGGAATCGTCCGCTTTGTCTTCCTCGCGCAATTTCGGAAAGTCTTGCACCCAGATCCCCTGCGTCTTGTTGTGCCAGTCCACCTCGATGAAATTGCTCGTGCAGATCATCACGCGGATGCCCCCCTCGTACAATAGCAGGGCCATTTTGGAATGGTGCGTTCCCCAGGCGAAGGGTGTGTTGCGGAACCTAGGTTTGAAGGTGGCGATGTTGGGAAAGGCTTCGGAAATCTGGGGCGTGCTCGGGTTTTCATCTCCGTAGATGCACAGCCAAGGGATGGAGAGGAGGCGGGGCAGGGTCTCCAGGAAGAAGGACCATTCGTACATGTAGTTGCAGACAATGGCGCGATGAAAAGCACCGGAGAAAATATCCTCCAACCCCAGGCACTGCGCGTTGTATTCAGGGGAGAGACCACGGACCTGGCCCAGGTAGAAGGGAAGTAGAGGGAGACTTGCCGACGAGCCCACCTTCCCACCGCTACTGCTGGAGTAGTTCGCGTGTTCGGCCCCGTTCTTCCAGCTTTTCTTGAGTTCTGCCTGTGTTTCCGCGGCACATGGATTGCTGGCAGCAGTCTCGCGGCCATTTTCGATTCCAGAACCTCGGGGATGCGGGGACTCGATAACCTCCACTTGCTCCTCGTCGTCCTCGTCACTCTCTAGAGTCAGGTCGTGCACGGGTTTCTCCGCGATTCCCCCCGTCATTACAATGCTCTCACTGTTTTCATCCATACACTTGCCATGGTCGCTGGTATTCAAGGAGTGCTGCGGTGCAAGCAGAGATCTGGCCGCGGCGGGAAGGGGATCGGACTTCGCGAGGTGCAAAACGAGTCTGCGCCGCTTTTTGTCCTGGTCCTCAGGTCCATCTAAGCTAGACATCTCCAAGTCCAGGCAGTCGTATTTCTATGACCGCTCAACAGAGCTTTGTTTTTCCTGTTTTGTGATACAAGAGAAGTTATGCCAGGAACTGTACAGGAGGGAAATGAGCACACCTTCAGTAAGGAGTAAGCGATATGGCGATTCCATGTCTGAGCAAAGGCTGTGACACCACTCCGTTCGTGAAGACTGCTTACATGGTAAGCATGTAATATTTTGAGAGAGGAAGCTACGCATCTCTGCTTTTCCCGTCATTAACATGTCGCAGTTGACCACAACAACAGGGTCCCAAGGTTGTAAAGACCACGTACGTGTTGAGGAAAAACCTCCCCACCCCTTGGCACAGGGCTGAGCAAGCACACCGACACCCCCTCCCCAAAAAGGACTCGGCAACGAGCGAATTAAAAACGATGCAGGGCAATATAGCACAAGCACTCCCGCCCTGGCAAGTGACGCGCGCTGTCCTTGGCTGGTTGGAAGAAGACGTACCTAGCATGGATATCGGTGGCTTTGTTGTGGGTGGTGAGTACGCTCGATTTTGGCAACGGCATTGTCTCTTTCCCGTTGCTGCTTTGTATGCTTTATATGACATGCTACTAAAATTCTACTTTTTCCTTTACATAAGTGATCGTAAATTTTCATGGGCGTTTTTCGGTGAGGTATTTTTATCTCTGCACTCCACCTCTTACTCCGCTCCTGCGTGCTTTCATTGCTATCATCCCACAGAAACGCCTACGACCGCGCTCCTCTACGGAAAATCCAAAGGGATCCTTTGTGGAAAAGTTTTTTTTGACGCGGTCTTTAAAGCGTTGGATTGCACGGTGGAGTGGATGGAAGGAATGGAAGATGGAGCGGTGTTGTCTCCTCCTGTACCCAGTAAAGCAACCACATATCCCAACCAGGGAAAGCAAGACGAGACTGACAGAGAGCAGTCTATAAAGGTCCACGTGGCAACAGTCAAAGGCAAAGCACGCCATATTTTGCTTGGAGAACGCACGGCCTTGAATATTTTGACTAGGGCAAGTGGGATCGCCACCATCTCCCGGGCCTCGGTGGACATTGGGCGTCGCGCAGGGTGGCATGGGACCATTGCGGGCACCCGCAAGACCACTCCCGGCTTTCGAATGGTGGAAAAATACGCCCTGTTGATCGGAGGGGCGGCCACACACCGGCAGGATTTGTCGCAGATGGTCATGCTCAAGGACAATCACGTGTGGAGCACGGGGAGCATCACCAAGGCCGTGAAAGCGGCGCGAGGGGTGGGTTCCTTTTCCATCAAAATAGAGGTCGAGTGCCAGACCTTGTCGCAAGCGCAGGAAGCGGGGGCCGCAGGGGCGGACGTGATCATGCTTGACAATTTTGCCCCTCCTCAACTGAAAGAAACGGCTGCGCTCGTGAAAAGCCAGTACCCGCACGTAGTGATAGAAGCCTCGGGAGGGATCACCACCGAGACCCTGGAGGAATATTTTTCCCCTCATGTGGATGTGATCAGTCGCGGGAGCTTGACCCAGGGCTATCCGGCTTTGGATTTCTCCTTGAAAATTGTGCCGCTGGGTACGCGATGAGGGAGGGAGGAGGGGAGGAGCGAGGGGTACAGGAAGAGATCCGGCTTAAATGCGACGCAAGCTGCGAATTCCGGAGACGAGAGAAATGTGCGATGCCACTCCCTAAGCAGATATGCATTGACTTGCCATTATTTCTGTGTCTTTGATCGCCCCTTCCCCGC